ACTCGGTAGATCCTGTACATTCACAACATTGTCCAATCACCACTTCTAATTCCAAAACATTTTTATTACCCAAAAATAAAATGTCATACTCATTAAGCAAGTATTTCCACTGTCTCCTCTTTGGTTCTTGGTACCCACAAACTGCTTTCTGTCTCTAAAAATTTATCTATTTTGCAGCTTCATTTAAATTGGATCATACAGTATGAGACATTTTGTGTCTGACTTCTTTCACTTAGCTTGTTTTCAAGGTTCAGTCACATTGCAGCATGTATTGGGACTTCATCCATCTTAATGGCTGCATGATGTTCCCTTCTATGGACATAACTCAATTTGTTTATTCATTACCCATTGCTAGACATTTGGGCTGCTTCCAACTTTGAGGTACTGTGAGTCGTGCTGCTATGAAAATTTGGGTATTAGTATTTGTTTGAGTACCTGTTTTCAATATTTTTAGGTATATATCCAGGAGTGGAGTTGCTGGCTCATATGGTAATTCTGTTGAGAAACTTTATTTGGTTCTAATTTTGCAGAACTAGTTTATGGCATTTAACTTGAGCCTCTATTTATTGTTATTATCAGGTAATTAACTGCTTACTATAAGGAAAATCATCCTACATACTTTTCATCACACTAACGTTCACGGATAATTTTCTCTTTCCTTATTTTTCCTAAAATTGCCTAATAAAGGATTTCAAAGTCCAAGAAATGCTGCTGGTCTGAAATATGCATTAAAAGCCACATCTTGGATATGGAACTGAGGATCTTGTTAAAAACAAGAGATTGACACACTCAAGCTACAAATTACAATATTATAATAATTATTGAATATTGCCAAGTTGGGAAAGGGGAGAGAAGAGAGAATAAGCAAACGTATACAATTTACAGAAAATGTTGAAATGTAATCTTTGAAGTCCAGGTAGTACCAGTTGATCTTATCTAATCCATACCTTTTGAAATCAAAATATAAGTAGATGAATTTTCCAGAGCATAATTTTTAAGGAGAAAACCCTCTCTCAATGTTTTAAATCATTTTTTAATGTTTCTGAGAACCACCACACACACATACTAATGTATACACATGCTGGGACTATTTTTATTTTTAAGAGAAGGTAACAGTCAAGATGATTAGGTTTATTTTACAGGCAACGCTACAATTCAATTTTAATTTATTTTGCCCTCTCACGTCACTTTTTTGTTGTTGTTGTTCTTTTGAATGACAAAGAAAAAGGTAAATCAAGAGTTGTAAAGAGTTCTTCAGGGTAAACTCAGCAGAGGATATAAACACCTAATTATGAATTTCCTGAATGTGCAACTTGACCAGCAGCAACTGGACGTGATTTCGATGGTGGGCCTCACCTCCAGCTGTTCTATGAAAACAAATCAGTGAAGGATTTCCAAGGCACATTTTCCTCTGGACTTGTTTTTAACAATGCAAACAGTGTAGTGTTGCTCTTTAAAAAACAAAAAATAGGTGACAGATTGTCCAAAAAGAAGCCAGAGTTTTCTAGAACAAAACAAAAAAACAGCTTATGGAACATATACTTCTGCCTGAGTTGAATGTGTTGGGCTGAGCGTAAGAAAATGCAAGCTGCAAATCTGTCTTATATGTGGAACCAAAGCTGGAAATGTGTGCTTTAGAGGCAACTGTAAAATGGTATTTCCTTCTGGCATATGGGCCAGTGATTATGTTGTGTGAGTAATGCATAGATGTAATCCATGTGGGAAGCTTTGTGGATGGAGAAAATGTCAGTGTTATTGACCGAGGCTTGGCAACCATTAGCCATGTACTTAGAAAAATTTACATGGCCTGAAACAAAGCAAAAAATGTACTGTCCAGTCTGTCAGCTTGTGAACATAGCAAAAAACCACAGCACTCCCATCAACACAAATACTGAAGGAAAAAATCTCTCTTGCTGTTTTCCAGTTTATGTTTATAGGAAAAGGACTTTTGTCTTACAATAAAGGAATTTGTGCTTAATGGATACTAACTTCATCAAATCATGAAATCCAAGCAGGCATTTGGAGAACAAGAAATCCAAAATCTCTGGCTAAGGGGAAAATCAGAAATCTTTATAGATTTTACAATTATTGTGTTCAGATCAATTTTTAATTGTTTTTAGCTATGGCTTCTTGAGTTTCAAAATAATGATAGAATATCTTCACTAAATACACAGTAGCATAAATTCTACAGGGTGTTACACAGCTCCATAGAGGGAAAAACCACCATGAAAATGAGTGACCTTGGAGGACCCCATTCATCTTTGTGAATAGCAAGATGTTATTTAGGCATCCATTTTTTTTCTTAAATCCAAAAGCATTTAAAAAATATTAAGTTATATAGAGCCTTAAAAGTGACCTAGAGCAGGCAGAGGAAGGAAGGCTTAACAATTGGTGGGGGAAACTGGGAGTGAGGATGGAGAGGGCTCAAAAGAGTGATGTCTTTGACTTTATTTTCCTTTTTTTTTTTTCTTGAGACGGAGTCTCACTGTGTCGCCCAGGCTGGAGTGCAGTGCCTGGATCCCGGCTCACTGCAACCTCTGCCTCCAGGGTTCAAGCAATTCTCCTGCCTCAGCCTCCCGAGTAGCTGGGACTACAGGTGCACGCCACCATGCCCGGCTTTTGACTTTATTTTCAAAGTATCACACATACTTCCCTCAGATGTTTCAATCTCATCTTTCACAGGGCTTCCTCTAATAGTTTTTCATCAGTCTTACCTGCCGTATCGATATAACGGCTTCTAACATTTTGCAGAGGGAATTTCTACTTCTACCTACGAAGGATGAACTGATACAGGAATCACTTTCCTACCGTAAACAACTAGAAAATAAGGCAAAATATATGAAAGGACAATTTTGAGATATTAGACATAAGGCAGTGCAGAACTTAATTCCTGAATGTCTATCATTATCCTAGAATACTGCCTTGAAGAAAACTCCAAGACATAGCCAAGAGAAAAAGAACTGAGAGTCTTGTTGAGTTGTGGAAACAAAAATCAGTATGAGTAGGCCAAGGGAGCTATGACTTACAGGCAGAGTTCGAGAGAGAGACAGCTAAGCAGCAGAAGAGGTCTAGACATCTGCACGAGCGACCCCTTGAATTTTTCATGAGCATCAATTTGTATATGCAAAATGTGAAACTCCTTGTTGGGGCAAGGTGTTTCTCCTCTTCTTCTGAGGAAAGACTCACTACTGAGAAACTGTAAAACGAACAATTTCCAGAAGTCACACAGGATCAAAACCTTTGTGGATGGAGTTTCCTTCATTCAAAGTGAAGAAATCCTGATGAATAGTCAGCCATTCAACAAAGATTTGAGAAGTGCGATGCCTTAGAAGTGGGACTACATTAGCTCTAGAATTCATCATTCTAAAACCTCCCTAAAAGAGCTTGAAAACAAGCCTCACAAGAGATCAAAAGCAACCTTCAAAAGCTAACTGCTCATAAAAAAGTCTAACACTCATTAAAGGAGTACAACAATATCTAGCACTAAACAATGTAAAACACACAAGCAGAGTCCAATTTTTAAAAATTATCAGACATACAGAAAGTGGGAAAATGTGATGCATAACCAAGCCAAAAATTAGTAAATGGAAGACCCACAACTGACAGAGACAATGGGATTAGCAGCCATGTATTATAGCTATTTTAAGTATGTGCTTTCAAAGATATAGGAGAACATAAGTGTAAGGAAGGGTGAAAAGAAACATATTTTAGAAGTCTCAGAGAGCTCTTCTGAAGACGAAAAATACAGTATTTTAAATAAAAATTTCACCAAATAGGATTAACAACAGATTAGATGAAAAGATTACTGAGTTTGGTGACTACAACAGAAATAATACAACATGAAGCAAAGAGAGGAAAAAAAACTGAAAAAAAATCAAAACAAAAAACAGAGCTTCAGTCCCCTGTGGGACAATAACAGCTGGTCTAACAGATGTATAATTGAAGTTCCTGAAAGAAAAGCAGAAGAGAAAGAAAAATAGTTGAAGAAATGTCAGCCGAAACTTTCCCAAAGCTGATGAAAACTATAAATCCACAGGTACAAGAAGTTCAATGAACCAAAAGCAGAAAACATATTTTGAAGATGTACCACGGAACAACATAATCCAATTACAGAAAACCAGTGCTTAAAAAAGTTAAAGCAGCCAGCGAAAAAGGATACACGAGTTCTCTCTCCCCCTTTCTCTTTCTCTTTCTTTCTTTGCGGCCCTCCCCCCCATCCCGCAGCGCTTCCCTCACCCTTCCCCCCCATAAAAAAAAAGAAAAGAAAAGAATATGTGAGGAAAGTACAGTCGAGGGTGGCCTAACGTCGGGGACACGTGTCCTCAGGTGTTTTGTACCTTGGCTGTGTGGTATGGGCTGTTGGTCCTAGGCTACAAACCTGCACGGCAGGTTACTCTACTGAATACTGTGGCAATTATAACACGGTGGTTAAATATTTGTGTATCTAAACGTATCTAAACATAGAGAAGGTAAAACATAGAGAAGTAAATATGTATTACAGAGTTGCCAAATATATATATACATATATATACACACTATATGTATTATACTATATATATAGATAGTATAATCTCATTTAAAAAAAAAAGAAAAAGGATACCTGACATAGAAACAAAGATAAAAATGAAAGGGGAATTCTAGTCAGAAACTTTGCAAGCCAGAATGACATATTGCAAATGATAAAGAAATTAAAGTCAACTAATAATTCTATACAGAGCATAAATACCACTTGAAATTAAAATCTTTTTATCTTAAAATGATATCATTAAGAAAATAACATTGAAATCACGGATTTTTGAGAAAATAGTTGAAAAACATAATCCTGGTAAAGAACTTTTTTTTTTTTTTTTTTTTTTTAATTTTGAGACGGAGTTTCGCTCTTGTTACCCAGGCTGGAGTGCAAAGGCGCGATCTCGGCTCACCGCAACCTCCGCCTCCTGGGTTCAGGCAATTCTCCTGCCTCAGCCTCCTGAGCAGCTGGGACTACAGGCACACGCCACCATGCCCAGCTAATTTTTTGTATTTTTAGTAGAGACGGGGTTTCACCATGTTGACCAGGATGGTCTCGATCTCTTGACCTCGTGATCCACCCGCCTCGGCCTCCCAAAGTGCTGGGATTACAGGCTTGAGCCACCGCGCCCGGCAATCCTGGTAAAGAACTTCTATGCAGGAAACAGAATTGTCACAACTCATTAAGAAGACAGGGGGAGCACGGTGGCTCACACCTATAATCCCAGCACTTTGGGAGGTCGAGGCAGGTGGATCATCTGGGGTCAGGAATTCGAGACCAGTCTGGCCAACATGGCGAAACCCCATCTCTTCTAAAAATACAAAAAAATTAGCCAGGCGTGGTGGCACACACCTGTAGTCCCAGCTATTCGGGAGGCTGAAGCAGGGGAATCATTTGAATGTAGGAGGTGGAGGTTTCAGTGAGCCAAGATCGCTCCACCGCGCTCCAGCCTGGCAACAGAGTAACTCCATCTCAAAAAAAAAAAGAAGAAGAAGAAGAAGACGACGACGACAAACTACTCAAGAAAAGGCATAAAATTTGAACTGGCACTTCATCAAAGAAGCCATATTAATAACAAGTGTAAGAAAAAATGCTGACCATCCAAAATCATTAGTCATTAGGCAAGTGCAAGTTAAAACCATGCGGACATACCCCTATATACACATGAGAAGGGCTGTAATTTAAAAAGACAATACTAAATGTTGGCAAGGGTGTGGAGCAACTGAGACTCTCATACATTGTTGGTGAAAATGTAAACTAGCACACCCATTTTGGCAAAGTGCTTTGCAGTTTCTTAAAAAGTTAAATATGCCACTGGGTGCGGTAGCTCATGTCTGTAATCCCTGCACTTTGGGAGGCCAAGGCGGGTGGATCACTTGAGGTCAGGAGTTGGAGACCTGCCTGGCCAACATAGTAAAATTCCATCTTTACTAAATAAAAATACAAAAAAATTAGCCGAGTGTGGTGGCAGGCACCTGTAATCCCAGCTACTCAGGAGGCTGAGGCAGGAGAATCGCTTGAATCCGCTAGGCAGAGGTTTCGGTGAGCAGAGATCATGCCACTGCTCTCCAACCTGGGCGACAGAGCAAGACTCCGTCTAAAAAAAAAAAAAAAAAAAGTTAAATATGCACTTACTCTGTAACCTAGCAATTAAGCTCATAAGTATTTAGCCAAGAGAAATGAAAATTGACGTCCTCAAAAACAATTGTACATGAATGGTCATAGCAGCTGCAAGATAAAATCTGGAAAAATGCTGTGTCCATCAACAAACGAATGGGTAAAAAAAATGATATATCTAGTCAACGGACTATAACTGAGCAGTGAATAGAAATGAATAATCGATACAGGCTATAACAATGATGAAACCCTAAAACACGCAGAGTGAAAGAAGCCAGACACAAAATATATGACTATATTTACAAGAAATTTTAGAAAAGGCAGAATGACCAAAATCAGATTAGTGATCACCTAGAACTGGGGATAGGAGTGGGTGACTGGAATGGAGCAAAAGGAAACATTATGGGGTGATAGCAATTTGCTCTATCTTGGAATGGTCTCATAGGTGTATTCATTTGTCAACATTCATGAAAATGTACGCTTAAAATAGGTGCGTTTTTGGCCGGACACGGTGGGTCATGCCTGTAATCCCAGCACTTTGGGAGGCTGAGGCGGGCAGATCACCTGAGATCAGGAGTTCGAGACCAGCCTGGCCAATATGGTGTCTACAAAAATACAAAAATTAGCCGGGCATGGTGGCGCACCTGTAATCTCAGTTACTCGGGAGGCTGAGGCAGAAGAATCGCTTGAACCCAGAAGGCAGAGGTTGCAGTGAGCCGAGATCACACCATTGCATTCTGGCCTGGGTGACAAGCGCTAAACTCTGTCTCAAAAAAAAAAAAAAAAAAAAAGGCATTTTTATTGTGTGTAAACTATACCTTAATAAAGTTGATTTTCTTTTTCTTTTCTTTTTTTTTTTTTTTTAAGTCAGAGTCTTGCTCTGTCACCAGGCTGGAGCGCGGTGGCGCAATCTCGGCTCGCTGCAACCCCTGCCTCCTGGGTTCAAGCGATTCTTCTGCCTCAGCCTCCCGAGTAGGCGCCTGCCACCACGGCAGGCTAATTTTTTTTGTATTTTTAGTAGAGACGGGGTTCCATCATGGCCAGAATGGTCTCGATCTCTTGACCTCATGATCCGCCCGCCTCGGCCTCCCAAAGTGCTGGGATTACAGGCGAGAGCCACCGCGCCCGGCGTAAAGTTGATTTTCTTTTTTTAATTGATATGCTTGGAATTCTTCCCCCACCCAGCTTGGCGGTCTATCTCTTTCTTCCCCAGCTACTCCTTCTGCCCACCTTATACACTCAAGTCACAGCCTTCTTTCATTTGTCGGCTCTCCAAATATTTGGAGAGGTCTTCTATCAATGGCATCCTCCACCCAGCCCTTCCAGCAAAGCCTCCTCCCCTGCAGTGAAACATTGCCAGCTCTTTACTCATTCACATCTGCGAGTTTCTTCTCCTGATAAAAGTGGGGCTGGGGGCCGCGCATGGTGACTCACTCCTGTAATCCCAGCACTTTGGGAGGCTGAGGCGGGCCAGTCACCTGAGGTCAGAAGTTTGAAACCAGCCTGGCCAACATGGTGAAACCCAGTCTCTACAAAAAAAAAAAAATACAACAATTAGCCGGGCGAGGTGGGGCCCGCGCCTGTAATCCCAGCTACTCCGGAGGCTGAGGCTGGAGAATCGCTGGAACCCGGGAGATGCAGGTTGCGGTGAGCAGAGATCGCGCCATTGCACTCTAGACTGGGCAACAAGAGTGAAACTCCGTATCAAAATAAATAAATAAATAAATAAGTAGGGCTGGAAAGGCTCTGTGGGTTGTGCAGGAAGGCAAGATCTGGAAGAGCTGTGAATTCCCTAAACACACGGAGAGTATTCAAAGGGCTGGGCAAGTGAAACAAACATAACATACAAGTGTTTACAGAGGTCTACACGCAACGCCACAGAAGCCATGGGGAAGATTTTCCATCCTCCTAAGTTTCAGGAGAGAAGAGGTAGGCTCTATACCAGGATGGTCTCCCTGCTTTGGGCGCAGAGAATGTCTTTTAGCTAATCCCAGCCCTTGCCGCGCACACCAGGGCACCAGCATTCAGGCAGCTCCGTCACCCTTGACACAGTTCCTCTGTTCAGTTTCCTGCGTTCTCTGAAGCACAGCGTCTTTAAAATCACTTGTACGTTTTGTCTGTTTCATCTCTTGTGATCTCTTCCTTTTATCAGCTCTCAGTCTCCACTGAAGACTAACTTGAACAGGTTACTCAACTTCTTTTCCTCAGTTTCCTCACTTGTAAAATAGGGACAGCAACCCTATTTCGAGGTGCTGCCATGATGATTAAATGTCTTGATGTATGTCAAATGCTTTTAATATTTCCTGGTTCATAGCAACCGCCCTTAAGAATTTCCTGTTATGATTTACCCAAAGATAAAGAGAAAATCTCACAAGCTCCCAGATAGAATAAGTTATTTGTAAAATAAACTACAATAAAATAAAACTGGCAGTGAAATTCTCCCGTTGCAACAGTAGAAAGTGGAAGACAGTAGAATGTATTTTCAACCTAAAAATCTTTTGACCAGTTGCTATATATTTTACTTGTCAGGGTGAAAGAAACATAGTGTTACAGAAATGTGAAATGTAGTCGCCACATAGCAAGCACCCTGTGAGGGTGTTCTGTTATTATTAGTGTCTAGGGCCATGATCAGAGGATTCAAATCCACCTTCCTGGATCTTTACTATCTTCTGCTCACATTCCCCACATGCCATTCACCACCACTCAGCCCAGCCCAGCCTCCTCTCTGTTTTTTCCCACTTAACATTGTAATTATTCCAGCACCAGGAAGCTAGGAAGGCTCTCCTGCCTTATCTAAGTAAACGGAGTACGTATTCCAATTTTTCTGGCTTTATGTTAGACATCAACAGATTTTAATTAGGGGGCAGAAAAAAAGGAAGATAACTTGGCCCACCCCAAATCTTAGGAAATGTAAGAATCCTGGAAAATAAATCCAGAAAAGATTTTGCTTGTTTCATGAGGAAATCTTCCCTGCTTTCATTTAATGTTTTAACTTCTAACTATATCAGAAAGGAGCTTATACAATTGAAATGTCATTATTTTATAATTGATTGGTATTATTTCTAGTAGTTACCCCTTTTATTGATTCAATTTATTTCTTTAAAAACCAAATTATGTTGTTATTGCCAAATTTGAGATTGTTTGTGAAAACTACATTTCTTAAATATTGAAATCCAGGCATCTTTTTGAGGAAGAGGAAAGGTTAAAAAGCTAGAATATATTTGCCAAGAATTTTGTCTGAATTTTTGTTCAAGGGAAAAAGTATTTATGTTTCTGATTCTTTTATGTTGGAATCATCAAATTGTTTTTTGTAAATAGCTATTTGATGTTCACTAGCTTTTGAATCCTTTACAGCTTTTTAAAATTTTTCTTGTTTTTTATTTTTTGAGACGGAGTTTCACTCTTGTTACCCAGGCTGGAGTGCAATGGCGCGATCTCGGCTCACCGCAACCTCCGCCTCCTGGGTTCAGGCAATTCTCCTGCCTCAGCATCCTGAGTAGCTGGGATTACAGGCACGCACCACCATGCCCAGCTGATTTTTTGTAGTTTTAGTAGAGACGGGGTTTCACCGTGTTGACCAGGATGGTCTCGATCTCTTGACCTCGTGATCCACCCGCCTCGGCCTCCCAAAGTGCTGGGATTACAGGCGTGAGCCACCGCGCCCGGCTTACAGCTTTTTTTTAATGCCTATTTTTTCTCTTCATTAAAAACGTATGGGTTTCAAGGTAATAAGAGAGAACACAAACAATGGGGAAAAAGAAGACAAAAAAAGTATGGGTTTTATCTGTTGTATGTGTGCCTTATATTTTCACCTTCAGCTACGGATCAAATTGGGCTACTGCTTGAACAGGCTCTTCACCCCAGGACCTTTGCATGGGCACTTCTCTCTGCCCATAATGCCCATATGCCTCAGGCTAACTTCATCT